CGTGCTTACCCTCAGGATGATCTTGATTCCCGACCTTACCCTCAGAATGACTTAAACTCCCTACCTTACCCTCAGAATGACCTTCATATGCGACCTTACCCTCAGAATGACTTAAACTCCCTACCTTACCCTCAGAATGACCTTCATATGCGACCTTACCCTCAGAATGACTTAAACTCCCTACCTTACCCTCAGAATGACCTTCATATGCGACCTTACCCTCAGAATGACTTAAAATTCGGAGCTTATCCTCAGAATGTCCTTGACCCTCTGCCCTATGAGGACCCCACCCCCCCTCCCTCCCCCCTGAACGACCTGACCAACCTACACCCGAAATTCAGGTCCTTCTCGCCCTCCAATACCGCCAAGGAACTCCAACACTCAAGTTATTCATTCGCTCCCGAGGTCCTCCTTCACTCGAACCACCTTCCCGCCTCGTCCCCACTCGATTTTGGGCCCCGAAATGGTCGCCCGTTCGAGGGCGAGGTATTCCCTATAGACAACGAAGGAAAAGGAGGTGATCTGCAGCCTCGTCCTAACCGGGTCTTCAGTCAAAATGCTTATATTAAGCCTGTTCAGAAGCGGACAGATTGGTAAGATTATAACTTTATTTATTTTTCAAACATTTATAATAGTTTCGTAATACAATTAATAAAAATAACTATATGTGTCCCTATATTATTATCTTATGTGACTCTTTTGCAAGTTATTTCCATGTATTTTCATAGATGATTTTTTTAGTGAGCATTTTCCATATACATATGATTTATAATTTATTGATAAAAAAACTTGTTTATGCGCGACTGATTAAGGTTTTTTTCGAGGTAATATATATATATATAAGTTTTAATCATTCTTTAAATACAAAATATCCTTACATAAACATGTCTTTAATTTGAATCAGTTTCATTCTTGAATATGAAAACATGTATTCTGTAAATGGATTTTAAAAGTGGAAACAATTCTAGGTTAACTAATATTTAAGTAGTGTCATTATTAAACAATATCTCACACAGAGTCCAATATATTTCACACTTACAAAAAGCCACAATTTCCAAAAATGGCGAAATTCTTCACCGTTTCTGCACAAAGTCAAATCTTAACTTCCTAATAGCATACAATATTTAGATTTCAAAGGACGTGAATAACTTATACACTTTCCACCTATTAAGCTGTAGAGTCTGTTTTTTCCGAACTCTTTCCTTCTTTCACTTTATTCAGCAGGAGAGTCTGTTTCACTAACGCATTCATCGATTTATTCACCCTATTCACCAGTAGCGTCTATTTTACTAACTCACTCATTCATTCATTCAGACACCCTATTCAAGCAACAGAGTCTGTTTTACTAACTCATTCATTCACCATACGAATTCAATTCATTTTTATCCCTATTCAGCAGCAGAGTCTGTTTTGCGGTCATTAACTTATTCCCACGCCCTATTTTCCAAAATCATCCATCCATTCATTAATTCGTCCTATTTTCCGAATTCATTCATCCATTCATTAATTCGCCCTATTTTCCAAAATCATCCATCCATTCATTCATTCACACGCCCTATTTTCCGAATTCATTCATCCATTCATACGCCCTATTTTACGAACTCATTCATCCACTTCTTCAACAAACCACAAAGGTACTTCCTCGGTCTGCCACCCACGGTTCCTCGACACACTCCCTTCTTGCAATTCGTGTATGACCTGCAATCTCCTGCCGAGTTTGGATACCCAGAAACGCGCTTTGCAGACGTCGATGAGGTAATTAGCCAAGTATTTTGTTTAGCCATTTTACTTTTTTTTTTTTTTTGCAAAAATTAAGGTAATTTGTTTACACTATAAGTATTTAATTTATACATGAAAATTTTAAGGTATTTGGCAAAGTTTTTGTTTGTTATTTATTTAGCAAAAATTAAGGTATTTATTCAGCTTAAATCATACGTGAAAATTCTAAGGTATCTGGCCAAGGTTTTTGTTTGTTATTAATTTAGCAAAAATTAAGGTATTTGTTTATATCATAAGTATTTAAATTATGCATAAAAAATAAGGTATATAGTTTTTGTTTGTTATTCACCAAAATTTGTTGTTTACTTATATTAATTGTAATTATTGAGGTATATATTTAGATTGTGAATATTTGAATAATGCATAAAAAAATAAGGTATTTAGTCATGTTTTTATTGATTGTTTATTCAGCAAAATTTAGGGTATTTATTTATATCAATTGTAATTATATATTCATACCTGTATTGATCTTAAATCACAACACCACTTTATCAAGACCCTCAAAGCAAATCACCTCAAATATAGCCTAGAATTCGAATAAGAAACTAAATCAACCTCAAAAAACCATAATGCTTCTACTAATTCAATCAGATGTGGTACCAGCCTGATGAATTTAGCCCCAACACACTTCGGAAGCAGCGACTGGGTTGGTGAGATGGAGCAAGGGGGGGGGGCAGACAAGCAGTGTTGTGATGTAGTGATGTAGTCTGTATTAGTGAAG